ATTATGGGGCTACATGGGGAGATTCTGGGAATGAACTAATCTGGAAGAGTGAATAGTGGCGTGCTTGAAAGTTGAAACTCATTAAAGATTACTTTTCCTTTATAGAAGAGAGCAAATGGATCATAACACGTTCTTCCCTTAACCCCCGTTATAAATAATAATAAGACCAATTTTAAATACTTAAAAAATTTTTTCATGACAGTCTCAAAGTATATGGGTCCCTCAATCAAAAGCATCATAACAGTAATTACTGTGAATCCTTGTATTCACGACTCTCTTTCTACATATTAATTAGAATGTGCTAGCTGCCACCTAAGAACTGTGAGTTCTCTGCGGCACCCCTCAACGAGGGCGACCCAGGGCAGTGGCTTTCACTGGAATGGGAAGGCAGAGAGGGGAAGAGGGAATTGGAATCCTGTAGGGGACAAATAAAGTGTGTCCCAGAGGCACAGCAGCAAATTCAAGCTATTTGGAGCAGTCCCCTGGTCTGCTGTGGTGACTGGACGCCTCATATACACCCCACGCCTGATCAGTGTACACACCACACACAGCCCACATGCAGGGAATAAGCTTCCATTCTGTTCGCTGGTCTTGAAATACACACTCTTTTCAGTGTCACATGATGTCATTGTCTTCCAAGTAGAATGAAGGTGTCTTGACATCACATGCTCACCAAAGTCCTGTTTTAATGTAAACCTAAAACAAAATTATCATAAAATTAAAGCCTAGGTTAAAATCGAGCTGAGGGGTAAATCTGCCAGTTCAAAGTGAGGCGAGCAGACATGCAGACTGAGGTCAGACACAGAAGGCAGGCCTTGCAGAGCTAGCTTAAAACAGCAACAGCATAGTGCAAAACAGTCAGGTGTGGCATCCACTTAGTTAGCTCATGAGTCAGATCCAGAGTGGAATAGAAAATCCCTAGGGGATGACATTAGTCTTGGAAAACAGACTTTAACTACACAAGGATCTGAAAGGTAGCAGCATTTTCCTTTGAAAAAGCTGGAAGTCAAAAGCAGGGATGTGTTATGGACGTGTGAAAAGGTACAGCACTTAGACACAGGAAGTACTCCAGAGAAGCACCCGGTCAGGACTAGTGGGTGTGGACGGGGGCGCGCCCCCAGCGAGTGATGCGGGCCAGAGGTGGGCAGGGGCAAGGAGCAGCAGCCACTTAGAATGGCTTACCCAGGGGTCAGAGGTCGTCGTCCTTAAAGGGGGGTGGGTATGTCGGGGTCTCAGGCTTAGCTGTGCCAAATTTACCCAGCTGTCAGGATTCCAAAAAGCTGTCCGTGTGCGCTCCTACATTAGGGTGTGCTGTGGCCATGCTAATCCCCATTTTTTGTTTTATTTCAAATCACACACAGATAGAATCTGCAAACTGCTTCAGATCAAACAGGTCTGATTGTGTGTAAATACATTATGTCCTTTTTAATTTTTATTATTAATGGTTGCTTCAGTTTTGCATCAGTGCATGGTTAAAAGCAATACACATCAGCTATTTCATGACTTCATATCTCCAAATGAATTATTTCTCCTCTTTTTTTGTTTGTTTGTTTGTGCAGTCAGCTGAAGAAATGTTAACATCTCACTCTAAATCTCTCAGTGGAGTCTCTGTTCCCTTCTCTGATATAACAGATGGGTTACTGCTTGTTATAATTATTAACATTGTGGTGTGGGCCAGGGCTAGGGTGGGCAAGATTGACTATTTCTTTGGGCTGGGGAGGGCCAGTTGTTAGGGTCTGGAATGTTAACTCAAGTGGTGACTGACTGTTTCCGTAATACCAGGTCGTTGTGGCTGCACGCTCTAGTAATTGAGGCTGTGTACTTCACCGAGCTTGTGGTAGAGCCTAGGGCAAACCGCTGTCCCAAGAGAATGCTGGGATAGATAGCGTTAGCCGATACGAGTCTGAACGTGGTGATTTTGCTGGTTGTTTTAGCTCCAGATGTTGGCATGCTTAGTTTTTAATGTGATTAATAAATGTGGCGCCACCCCCTCCCCACGCCTGAACCCCCTGTCTCTCCTGCCCCTTCCCTACCTTTGTTCTTCTGAAAACCTTAAACAGTAATGAAAACCTTGGTGTTTCAAACTGCACTTTGTTCTCATGTTCTAGAAAAGCCTTCAGATTTGCTAGTAGAAATGAAAGTGGGGAAACCTGCTTCTCAGTCTGCAATGTTGCTGCCCTCTGAAATCCAGGGGGGATGAATAAATATATCCAAACTTTCCTTGCCTTATATTTGGTGGTAGATTTTGTCCAATCACCATTTAAAAGCGACAGACGCAAGTAATGTCTTTGGAGTATAATTCAGGGTCTGCAGTTTAACCTTTCTGATTTGAGGGTGGCCATCAGTTAGCAAGGAGAGGGCTGGCAGGTGACCCGTCGCCCAGCACAGCCTGTCCTGCAGCTCCGCTGTCGTGCTGTCACTGTAGAGAAGTCCTTTGGAAATACTGTGTGCGGCTGTTTTTGTTGAAGAGACCATCGCTGCCGTTCGCGTTAGTGCTGTCCTTCCCAAGCCACTGGCTGCCAGCGGTGCGCCTGCCCTTTCTCGTGAGTTGCAGAGGCAGCCAGCCTCCTCACAGCCAGGCTCCAGGCACTTCACAGAGGAGACCATCGTGAGCGGGTGGTCTCCATTTCCTTCTGCTTTGGAAGGAAGCCTCTTTCCCATGGTCAGCATCATTTTGAACTGTTTTGTTAACAGTACAACACAGTTCCAAGATCATCAAGGTTGTCTTGGCTTCTCACAGGCTGAGCAAAGTGAAGAAAGCGGCTCCGTTGGTAACCTTCTCTGGAACGCGGGCCACGCAGTGCAAACGCTGGTCTGCTGCCACCCGGCTGAGTGTCTTCTGGGCCTGAGGATACCTCCAGGAAAATGTTCACCGCTGACCTATTTTTGAGAAGTTGAGGCTTTAAATGTGTTACTCAGTTAGACATCAGTTCGGCTTTAACTGCTTTTATTACCTTGACTTTTCCAATGGTAAAGACTTTGCAGGGTTCGGGGAGGGCTAAAGAGACCAGCTGCATTGTGCCTGTCTACCCTCGTGCCTGTCTACCCGTTACCCTTGTTTACAGAGAAGTCGACTCAAGACTCCCATCCCACACTCACATTCTAAACCTGGGGCAGGCCACAATTATCATGGAAAAGTGAACCTTCATTTACAGCTTGAAAGTTTGCTATAATAATGAGCTCGTACTTCAATAAAGTATTAACAGCTTCATTGCCTCTTTAGAAGTTTGAAAAGAAAAAAGAAGGAAAGGAGATGCAGTTTGTAGAGCCATGAATGGAGCAGCCGTCAGGCCTGGGCTCGCAGCCCGGCCCCCGCCAGTCCAACCTGCCCGGCCCAGACCTGGCGAAGGCAGCGCAGAGGTGGCCGTCACAGACAGCCCCTGAGGCCTTCCTGCTGCCGCGGTCCCGCCGTGCATGAGGTTAATGAGAACTTTATTTATATGAGCAGCTATCGAAAAGCTGGAGTTGAGAAAAAATACTTGAAGAATAAAGAGTAACACCCACTGAAAACGCAAAAGGGACTTGTTTTTAAATGTACAGATAAACTATTTCTGATGACTTCGAGGAGCATAAATTGAAATTTACCCCATGATGCAGGTTGCTCTTTGAGAGAAGCATGAATTATATAAGAAGAAGCAAAAAACTTAGAAGCTCCTAAGAAGCTAAGGTATTTTCAAAATAAGATCTGAACAGAAATAAAAGCATCGAGCTGGAAGCTGCCTGAATCAGATGACTAACAAGAACCACATTCAGGAGTCCTTGTTTTCTAGCCTCAGAAATAACCCAGAAGTAAATTTGCAATTTGTTTGTAGATTTAGCAAAAATTCAGCATTTAAAGGAAATCAGGAAGCTTTGGTGACCCTTGAGGATGGATTTGCATGACACAGGCGTGAGCTGTGCTGCGCGGGACAGCGGTGTCCGGGTGGACGGTTGGACGCAGTCACATTTGATCAGGAAGAAAACCATGACACAAAGCCGTGCCTGAGTTTGATGCAGGTGAAATAATAGGTGGATTCTAGAAGAATCAAGAAAAAAGAGGAAAAGTAGAACTTGCCACTTTTCAGAATAGCTGTGGCATCTGTTGTAATTGCTTTTGAAGTACTCGATGAAGAAGTACTTGCCGCCAGCAGGGAACACCTTGTGCGTGTTTGGCTCGTCTAAACTGAGGAGACATCGCACACGGGGGTGTGTGACAGGCTGTACACAGAGCCCGTTGCCAGCCCTGGAAGGAAAAGCTGCAGTCAGCCAGCCTGGTGTGAGACCAGCATGCGTAGGCGCAGATCCCAGTTCTGCGGGGAGGAAGATACGGGCTGGTAACCTCGGGCAGGAGGCACCTGGCCTCTTCAGGGACTAGAGTCAGTCTCCACAGCTGTGTGCCTTCTGTGCGAAGGACCAAGTGGCCAGTGTTTTTGCCTTTATGAGCCATGTGGTCTCTGTGGCAGTTTTCAAGAGCAAGCAGCAGGCTGCATGGGCAGGCTGGGGCTTGCCAACCCCTGATCTTCACTCAGCTTCTATCTGGCTATTGCCTGGCTCTCCCCGCCTCTGGGCAGGGGTGTGAGGCGCCCCAGGGGCCCTTTCTTTTCCCTACTGCCCTCTCCTATGCTCTTGAGCACCACACGCAGAAGTCAGTGCAGCTGAATGTGATGGGCTGTCCTTACTTTACACTTCCTGTCCAGCAAACCCAGTTCCCAGCTTCCCCGTAAATATTTTCTCTCATGAAAGTTCCAGGCTGTAAAGATAAGCCGCAAAGTTATCTTCAGTTCTTAAATTTGAGAGTGGGCACTGTATCTGTCACAAACTGGAAAGTAGATCCGCGTGGTGAGGTTTCATTTTGTGCCAGAGGAATAACATGCAGACAGATGCAGTTTGAAACACCCTCTCCCCACATGTGTGTCTGTGTTGGCGTCTGTTCCTGTGTCTGTGTGTCTGTGTGTGGGTGGGCGCTGTCCCTTGTCCGGGGGGGAGAGGTATCTGTAAGTCAGTTCTCTTCTCTCCTGTAGGGTGGATATGCAGCCTACAGATACGCACAGCCTGCTACTGCAACCGCAGCCACAGCCGCTGCAGCTGCCGCTGCCGCTTACAGCGACGGGTACGTACCAGGAGCCCCGCGCCGCCTCCTGGCTCCGATTCCCGGCCGGCATGTGGCCCGCAGGCTGTCTGAATCCTGGGCTCCTAGTGGGCTCCTAGTGGCCTCCTAGTGGCCTCCTAGTGGCCTCCTAGTGGGCCTGGCCGGGGCGTGGCCCCTCGGGCGCTCTGGCTCTTGTTGCTTTTCGGGTTTACAAAGCCAGCCGCCTGCCTCCCATCTCCGACTCCATTCTTTCCCATTTTGCAGAAGTCTTCAGAACTACTGCCATAAGGAGTAGAAATGGAAAGTTGTTTTCCATTCTGCCATTTCCTAGTAACAGCCCATGGCCCAGCTTCTTACAAGTGCTTAGTGTCGGTCCTGGGCTCCTAGCGGGAACACGCTGTTGGTCTCTCCCTGACTGTATCTCTTCTTTCCAGTTACGGCAGGGTGTACACAGCCGACCCCTACCATGCCCTTGCCCCTGCCGCTAGCTATGGAGTTGGCGCTGTGGTGAGTATATGCACCCCGTAAACAGACAAGTGTGCCATCTAGATTTCACTTACAGGCCGAAATAGATGTAGGGAGATAAGAAATTCAGCCCTTCTCCTTTTGCTGAAGTAGAAAGCCATCCAGGACTGTCTGGAATTGTGTCACCCTCTTGTTCTGTGTGCCTCAGAGTGAGCCACATGGCCTGGTGTGAGCAGTGACAGTCACCCTGGGTGACACCATCAGCCAGAGAGAGAGGGGCAGCAGCTTGATGCCGGGGGTCAGCCAGACGTAGACCCACGGCCATGGCCTTGCCAGTGAATTGTGCTCTTGTTGACGGAGGTAGCATAGACTCAGGGCACTTTCCACTTCACAGTCAGCTTTTCAAAATAGTTCGTGTGTCTGAGACTCGAGTGCAGGTGCCAAAGGCTGTCCCTGCTGTTCCTGAGCCTTCTGGTGGGTCGTGCTGGCATTGCGAGTGAGTGCTTTACCAAGACACTTTATCGGTGACATTTGCAGTAAAATTTGGTATTTTCAGAGAGGTATCGAAAAATTCTATAGAATTCTATAGAAGATCTATAACCTTCCCCCATCACAACTCAAACCCCTCACTGCGGTTCTTTTTTTTCTTCTAAAAGTACTTATATAGGGAAATTTATATATCCCTTTACATAATTTTAAAATTGTCTTTTTTTTTTTTTTTTTAATAATAACTACAGTTCTTTTAAGTTGGCCTCAGGTCCCAGACCCATAATAGACAGCAGGGGCTGCCCTTCTGCAGCTCCCACCACCAGGTGCCCCCAAAGCCCAACCCTGGCCGCCACACCTGGGGTACAGATGGGTGCCCTAGAGGGCTGACTGACATAGAGACGTAGAGTACAGGGGGAGTCCATCGTTTCTCACGCAGAATTTCTGCTGAGGAAGACTCATGGGAGGAAGTAACGGAAGCCTGAGCGAGCGTGTGTTAGAGCTGAGGCGGAGACCTGCGATGTACAGGCAGTGGCACGGGTGCCTGAGCGGTGCGGGAACCTCGATCCTGCACCTAGAGAATGGCCTGAGGAGATGAGATGGCTGTTCCTGGGAGCCCTAGTGGGAAAAGCAGTAGTGGGCGGTGAGGAAAGACTGGGCGTGAAGCCCACTGGGTGCAGCCTGCCCGCCCGCTCACAGGAAGGGGCATGTCGGCAGGCCCGGGGGTGGGGGGGTTTAAAGCGCATTAGACTCCGCGAGGTGAGAGGTCGGTGCCGGTGTAAGTTCCACTGAGACACGAGAAGAGGGAGACAGCGCGGCCGGGAGCTCGAGTGTCCGTCTGCTGCAGCCGCGACTGTGACACGCGGTGGAGGCGGGTGAGTCAGGCTCCATGCTGCCGCTCCTGGCGGACACGGCCCAGAGGCCGGTCGGCGGCGGCTGGCGGCTCTGGCTGGGCAGCACAGGTCGGCGCCTCGGCAGCTTCCTCAGAAGCTTCTACATCCCGTCTCAGGACGCTTTTCTTCGTTTTTAATGCTCCTCTCGTAATCGTTTAATTATTTCTGTCTTTAATTACTGCAGGCAAGTTTATACCGAGGTGGCTACAGCCGATTTGCCCCCTACTGAAGTGACGTGAGACCCTGCAGATGGGACAGCCCCCCAGTTCATGAGGCCTGGCTATTGCAATATTTACTAGTAGAGGAACTCTATAGCAAGATGAAGAGGAAAACAAACAAACAAAAAAAACACAAAAAAAGAAAGAATACTTTTTTATACCTCACTATGTTCTTTGAATATGTATTTTCCTTTAAATTTCTGCCTTTAATTCTTTTGTTCCAAAGATTGTGCATTTTTTTCTTTTTTTTCCTTTTTTTTTTTTTAACTGTGGTAAAAAAAAAAAATAATGCATTTCCATGTCTGTATGTCCGTGCTTAGCTTATTCTATCAGTCACGGAAGAGGCAGTTACTGAGGAAGGAGAGACACTTAGGAGCCAGGAATTGATCAGAAATCAGCAGACAGAACTACCAAAGTGTGTCTGGTGCTGAGTGGTGGGGTTCAAGCAAGGAGTGGAAGACGTCTTTGTGCAACAGGATATCTTCTGGTCTTCTGAGTTTCTGGTCTTTGGCAGGCAATTCTGATTGGCTGTGGCTGGAATCCACATGCTGATAGCTGATAGGAATTTGTGCTTGCAAAAGCAGGAGAATTAAAAGGACAGTTCCTCTCCTCTTCCCTCCTGCCTTCATCCTTTTCACAATCATCTTACACACATAGTCTGAGACAGTCGGCATGGTTTTGGAAACTGCAGTATTAATGTTTCCAGACGTGCTCTCAGACTGTGGGTAATAACCCCTCACTAGGAACCCGATCTCAGAATGAACTCTGGAGTATGGAAAAGATTATCCTTTTCTTTCCTGCAACCCCACCATTCCTGCTGGGCATCTTCCCCTTTAATTCAACCACAGCTTCTCTCATCTGTCCTTTGATTAACACCCTGCTCCCATGTCCTCAAGATTCAGGAATTTAGGACCCAGGGACAGAAGAATAAATAGCCAGTGTCCGGATTTCTCCAAGGTATTTGGCCGAGCTTAAGGGTTAGAAATACAAATAAATTGTTGCGAGCCATTGAAGAGCATGAGGAAGTGAAGAGGGATATTAGAGGCTATCTGGCAAGTCACTTGATATTCCTGACCTTCCTCTTGCATCAGAAAAACAATACGAAGTATAAAACATATAATAACGACACTATTGGCAAAAGCTAAAAGCCGTCTAAGGTCCCTGGAAGTTTTGGCAGATGAGGGCAGGCGAAGGCGCTGGGTACTAGCCCCAAAGCCATAGGAACTCCGCCTTCCAGGCCTTCGCGAGCCACTTCTCTGCCTGCGGGCCACTGCCAGCATGGGCATCCCACCCAGCTCGTCATTACCCTCTGAAGACACCCCGCTGACCACTCGGTGCCCCCGCGGGCCCCGCAGTGGCCCCAGCCCTATTGGAAGGAAGGTCCGAAACGGCGAGGGCTAGCGTGTCACCAGGAAGAGGCGTCTGGCGGCCGCAGCGTGAGTCTCTGCCGCCGCCGCCTGGCTTCCTTTCATACTCGTCACCGTGGTTGGGAGAAAGTGTTTCTCTTCTAGATGTTTAACTGGTAAAAACAAGGGTCCTGCAGCATTTCCAAAGCGAAGGTGTTAGAAACAGGAAAGCACGGTCTGGTCGGCTCCCTGTCTAGACACATCGGTACTAGGGTGACCTTCCACCCTGGGGCAGCTGCTGAAGGGAGTAGTTCAGAGACATGGAGCTTCTGGTTTGTTGTGGGTTTGCTTTGTTTTTCCCTCCTGCCTCCACTTGTGTTCTTGACTGATGACTGATTCCAGTCCCTGAATGAAAAGGACTGACATTTGACGGCATCGAGCACTCTGCCAGCAGAATGGTGTGCCTGGGGGGGCTCTGCCTAGGAAGCCCTGAAACACGGGAGCCATCTGGAAAGCTAGCGGCCTCGGTGCGATTCTTAGGCCTCTGGGGAGGAAGGCATAGCATAGCGCAGGGCACTCCAGACCGCCTAGTCCGGGCACCATGTTGAAGGGTTCCCCTCCCCAAGCCAAAGTTTGCTTTGTTGCTGTTAAGACAATTTTTGTTGTATGTATAGAGATATCTTAGTTAGAGGAGTGGAAAGTGGGGTATGGGAACTTCCACGGTTCTAGGGAATGGGGGCAGGGAGGATTCCCCCCCCCCCATTCTTTTGCTTTTGTTTTAAGGGAGAGCTTTTACTGGCTAAAGAAAAGGAAATGAACTTTCTGTCATGTCAAGTCGGGCCAGCCGTACAAAATGGCAAGCCTCTGTTCAGCTGAGACAAGGCCGAATTCTAAATGGTCATATTGGCAGCAGGAGAGAACAGAGGGGTGAGCTTAAGAATTTTCTTTCCTCCAAGCAGAGGAGGGTGGGACAGGGAGGGAGAGCAGCCCCGCAGACCTTGAGAAGAGGCAAAAGCTTGAGCTCGAGGTGCCCTGTCTGCACCTCAGTTCAGCTGGTCTGGCCAAGGACCCCTAGCAAGCTGTGCTTCTGTTGGCTCCGCAGCCCTTCCGGGGTGCTTTTAACTCCGCGCCTCAGCTCCAGACTCTCGGAGGGCCCGGGGAGCTCCTTTAACTCGCATTCTCCGGTTTTCAGTGTCAGCACTGAGTTGGGGCCTCTCAGCAGCACCCAGGTGGGAGACGCCCAACCTCCCCCATCAGCTTTTGAACGCTGAGACTGCAGCCCGAGAGCCCAGGCAGGCTCCTGGCATCCTGCTTAAGTGTGCTGGAGTGAGAAGCAAGCCTGGCCTGCTGTGCTGTGAGCCGGAGAGGGCGCGGTCGGAGTTCTGAGACGCCGGGGCTGGGCCACAGCACGGAGAATCTGCGGCAGCTTTACACAGCCAGTGGCCCCTCCGCCCTAGAAGCCGGTGCCTGTCAGGAGCCTGTACCACCCGCCTCCTGCCCAGAGAGCTGCACTTAGGTCTTTTTTTTCTCAAAATTCCTGGTGTTGCAGAATTCAATTCCCATCAGCCCTGCTCGGCGATTCATCTCTGTCGGGGCTCTGGGGTTTCATTTACTAGGCCCCTGTCCAGCGCTCCAGCCACAGCCACTGCTGAAATGGAGCCAGTTTTACTTCTCGAAAGGAGACTGGGGCTCAGCCGTTATTTTGAGGGAAGCTAGTGCAGGTATTTCCGATAGAAATCAGTGATAGCTTTTCCTCAAAAGCATGACTCCTTGGGCTAAGCCACTGCTAGTTTAGGGCAGGTGAGCCAGGGAGTCACCGCCACACCTGTTGGGAGTGCAGGGACAGGATGGAAGCAACCCCAAGGATCTGCAGGAAGGGCTCGACAGTACCCCCCCCCCCCGCCCCACCTTCCCCCAGCAGGGTGAGGCCAAACATAGGACCATCTGCAGGGTGCTCAGCCCTTGCCAGGAGGGAAAAGGGGAAGCTGAGCTCTCCTCTCGCCAAGTCTGGCTGCTTCTCCGCTGCTTGCAACCCTCTAGCACAGTAACATTTGCAGGATTGCAAATTTTTTCCCCCAGATAAAAGGAGGAAAGGGACTTTGGGGGTGGGGCGGGGAGGGGGTAGTGGTGTTTTAAAAGCATAAGTTACCTGTTTGCACTGTTTTTAAGATAGGTTAAAAAATAGTGGGCAAGGTGATCATCAAACGTAAATTTGTGTGCTTTTATTTTGTCATGCTCTTGAAGATGTTTGACCATTTGTAGTATACACCAGTGAAACTTGATTCTCTGTTGCATAAAACACTTATTCTTTTTTGGAAATGTTACTGTCCGAAAGCTTCTTCCCTGCCTTTTCCTTTTCCTGTGTTCGTCCCTCATCCTTGCTGTACAGATCGATCGATCAGCCAGGGATCAGCCCGGCCACAGCCTGGGGGCTGAGCGGCGTGGGCTCTTGCCCGCGGGCTGGGTCAGAAGCCAGTGCGCAGCCTCTGCTTGAGTGGACGGCCGCCTCTCGGAAGGAGCTCACAGGCCGGGCCGCGGCGGGACGGCACACTCCCGGGGCCCGAGGGTGGCTGCGCTGGAGTGCTGCAGTGGCTGTGGGAGCTGAGTTCTTAGCCATGTTACCGGAACTGTAGCCAGTTACAGTTTACTCAGGAAAACGGTAGATCAATTCAGCCATGGTAGTGCTGGTTGGCAGGGATTGGTAACTGAGAGAACTGCTCATCAGCCAAACGCAAACCTTGCCTTTACAAACCTTACAGGCCGCGGGCGCCGCCCTCCCTCCGCCCGCCCCGCGGCTCAGCTCCCGCTGGCCAGCAGAAAGGGGGCGTCGCTCTCTTTCCTCTCCCCTCCCTCCGCCCCTGTGGCCAACACCAGACTCCCAGGGGCTCCATGAGTTTCTGAATTTTTAGACAGTCGTCTTTTGGTTTGGTTTTCCCGGGGACTGATGAGTGCTCGCAGCGACGTCTCTGCCGTCAGGACTCCCAGCTTAGTCGTTTCCTTGTGTTTTTCTGTTCACAGTATTTTCGTGTGTGTGCGCTTGTTTTGGCAGCTCGTTTTGGCTGTAATATATATCGAGTGATGAATTGATCCTCTTTTTTCCCTAAGGGATATGAATTGTTTTCTTCTTGTGTTTTAATTCTGCTTGTGAATAGCTGGAGCAAACCCGGGGCTGACACACGTAAGCTAGGGCTGCAGAGCGATGAGCGCTGGGGGCCTCGTCCCCACGGGCCGCCCTCCCCGAGCCTCTGAGCTTGCCAGTCCAAATCTTTGCAAGGCTAAAAATGCCACAGAACCTCTCCTCCCCACACCCCTGGCAGGGACGGACCAGCCCTGCGTGCAACGTGCAGTTCTCTGGCCCCTCCATTGCCGTGACAGAACAGGTACCTTTGGGGACAGGGGGCCTCCCGTGGGATGCTTGTGTAGTTGACCACCTCGCCTTCACCCCGCCCCCGGCCCCGGCCCAGACTCACTTCCTGGGACCCCCGAGCTGCTTGCCCAGGGTCCTGTCACCCTGCGAACTCCAGAGAAGCACCCCAGGGCTTTGTGACAGTCTCTGACCCCCTTCTCCTTAAGAATCATATTGTATAGTAGCTTTCAGACCATACAGTATTCATTGGGTTACTCCTATTATTATCAAGTAGCTGGAATTGTGAAGGTCGGAGTAGTTAGATCTTTAGCTTTTATTCCTTATTTTTTTGTATTACTATCCATGTGTATAAATTATTGATCATGTTGCTGGCTTTTATAAACTCTAAGCACAGGAGGGCGCCGCCCCTGCCTCTGCAATGGTAATGAAGCACTGTTTTTAAATAAAAGAGAGAAACACCAGCGTCTGCCTCCTGTGCTCACCCCTCCCTGTTGCCTCTCCCGGAGGCTCACAGGTGCAGGTGGGCTTTGACCCTTTGGGATGGAAAACAGGAGGGGGCCAGGCCCGGTTTCGAGTGCAGGAGCACCCGAGGGCGCCTGGGGGGGGCGTACCCCACTCCAAGGGGGCTGCCTTCGTGCTGGCGCTTCAGCGCGCTTCTCCAGCTGGACGCCCCGGGCTGCCCTCCCCGCACCCCAGAAACAACCCTCACACCCAGCGCCCGCTTGGCCCTCTGAGGTGCAGCCCCACCGGCTGCTGAGCTGGCCGGGGCGCGGGGCCGCCCCGCCCCCGGGCTTCTCTGCGCCAGCGCCCACGCCTCGGCCCCATCCTGCACACCTTGTTTCTTCGCTTCGGGACAGACGGCCCCCTGGCCACCAGGCCCTGTGGTTTTGAGCACCTGCTTAAATCCTGCAGCACATTCTTACAAGCAGTTTGGCGAGGTCCCAGGCCGCCCCTTCCCATCAGACCTCTCCAGTCAGTCTCTGCCCATCCACTCCAGCTTCTTGCTGTTCCCCAGCTGCCTCCCGGCCCCTCCCCGTAGACCTGGCAGCGCCCGTGGGGCAGCGCACGGACCTGTGCTCCATCATCGCACCGCCTTGGGCCGGGCCCTGCACAAAAAGCCCCCCCCCCCCGGTCCCCGCCCTGGGCCAGCTGAGCGGCCGCGGCCCCGGAGCCTGCACCAGCACCTTGCCGGCACTTTGGTTCTGTGCCCTGCTCTGCCCCCACCCCTGCGCCCGTGCACAGTGGCGCCCAGCAGGTATCGCCCAGCTGAGCTCACGCTCGTCAGCTACATCATTTCCTCTCCCCTTGGCCCCGTGAAGTGGGTGCCAGGGCTCGTCCCCTGGGCTCCTCAGCCCCTGCCTTTCACACGTGCACATGTCCCCGCCAGCAAGGAGCAGGCTGGCCTGCTACTGGCCGGGAAACAGGCTCCCTGAGCCCAGGGCCCTCGGCGTGCAGACCCACAGCATCCACCCAGCCGACGCCTCCCCGGGGCCCCTGTGTGCTGATGTGCTGGTGCCCGCTGGGTCGAGATCAGAAAGGCTCCTGTCACCTCACCTAGTGCCGTGTCATCTACCAGAATCCACGAAACTAACATGAACCTTGCTTCTAGGCCAGGAGGTATTATATCCCAGGCCCGCTAGTGCGTATTGCCTACTAAGCCGGGCCGCCCTGGTGGCGCAGGGGCTAAGCTCAGCACCGTGCCACCCACAGCCACTGCAGCACGGCTTCGATCCCCGGCCAGCGAGTGACCCACATGGCACGGCAGACCTCCCCTGACCCGCCCGCTGCTCCCCTCAGCAGTGTACTTCGTCAGTCCAGCTGCCTGTTCTGCTCCCCCCCGTCTCTGGTGAATCCTCTCGCCGCCCCTGCACCTCTGGCCAGTACCCCAGTTCTGTATGCACAAATAAATAAATCTTAAAGGCAAAGCTGAAGTGGAAATTGAGTAACTCAGTGGCCCCTCCAAAGTCAGGTGAGTAGGAAGTGGCGGAAGCAGGACCCACACCCGGCAGCCCGCCTTGTGGGCACTGGCGTTGAGGGTGCCCCTCTTGGAGAACATCCTGCAGAAACCTGAGTGCTGGCCGCCCTGCCTCTGGCTGCTTTTCTGGGCCCCTTCCTCCACCTCCCCCTTAAAAGTGGTGGTTCCCCTGGGTGTGGCTGGCGTGTCTCCCTCGCAGCTGCTGCACAATTTACTTGGGCTTCATGTCTGTCTCCCACTGCCACCATGAGAACACACTTCACGGAATTAGGAGTGTTGTCACTGCCTTCAGCCCAGCGCCTGCGGTGATGCCTTCAGTATCACCTGCGGCAGGCAGTTAGTAAGCGGGTGGGTGGGTGCGTCGTAGCTGGGGGGCAGATGAGATGGGTGAACGCACCTTGGCTGGAAAGGCGCCGGAGGCCCCCCGGGAGACCCCGGCCAGGAAACGCTCTTGGCAGTGGGGGGGCAGCACGGCCCTGGCGGCCAGGCCAGGGCTCTGGCTCCCTGTGCTGCTGTGGCGCGTCTCCCTCTCCGAGGCAGTGGCCGGCCTGGGGCCTGTCCCCTGGCTGAGGCCTGGCCTGAGCTTGAGTCCCGTGACAGGCAAGGGTGAGTCCTTGGGTCTCCCCCAAAGCCTGCCCCTGGCCATTGAGCTGGGCAGCAGAGTAAGAAGAGAGCGCATCTGCCTTTGCACCCCTCTCCGAATGGGGAAGTCCAGGTGACACCCCGAGTCAGGGAGGCCCCCACCCCACAGGAATTTTTCAAGCCTTCACAGAGGCTCCAACATGTGACATTTCTACGCATCACAGCCGGCCCGGCACAGGCTTCTTCACCTGCCCAGACAAGCGATGGACGAATTTACCAGCCTCGCGGCTTCAGCAAAGGCCTGTTTGTCCTTCCCGGGGGTCTCGCCTGGCTGCCGACCCAGCCCCAGCCTCTGTTCCATGTAAAATTAAAGAGGAGGCTGGGATGGATTTTCCCAGGACTCATTTTCCAGTGTCATCTCTTACATGTAGATATTTAATGTCGCTGAACATGTAAAACTGCAAACCAAAGACTTTCCCGGCTCATTTGCAAGGCCCCTTTATCCTGAAACGCCCACTCGTGCTCGCAGCTCGTACTCCTGGCACCTCCTACGCCCAGCCCCGGGCGCTGGGGGTCCCTGTCCCCCAGGAGACAGCACATGGCCAGGCACACGATGGCGGTCAGGGCAAAGGGAGGACCTGCTTAGGGAGGAGGGTCCTCTGGGCCCCATCTCTAGTGTCTCCCTTTCAGCACCCCTCCCCCACCAGGAGCTTCTAGAAGACCCAGCCACTCGCCCTGTGCCCCTCCCGGCTCCGCCCGCCCCTTGGCGAGGTCCCCCCTTGGTGAGGTCCCTCGGTTTCTGGGCCGCCTCACCACCCCGTCAGGGGATCAGGTCTCCTTGAGGCCTCTCAGATCTTGCAGAAGTAAGAGGCCCTCCCAATCGCACCCACCCCCTACCCCCCTCCCTCCTTTCCCACCATAGCCTAGCTGGGCCCTCTGTGCCCTTCTGCCTCCCAGAAAGGGGCACAGCCTAGGATCACAAAAGCCCTGACCCCCCAGCAGGGAAGGATGACTTCAGGCTCCCCAGAGCTTGTCCTGTTGAGATGCTACCCAATCCGCGGCTCCGGCACCAGTAAACCTGGGCTTGTCCCCACCACAAGGCTCAGCTGAGAACTCAGACGGCCAAGGAGGAGCCCGCTCCCTCCCCGCTCAGGCACGCTCCTTAACGCCTCTTGCTTCTTTCCTTATCCAAAATACATCCTCAAGGTAACTCAGTCTTACTCATTTACCGCCAGTGAGTTTCTAGGGCATCTCCCTTCCCATACGGCATTGATGCCGTACTGCTAACCGTGTGCTTCAGCACCCCAAATGTAGTCCTTGGGGCACTCTGCTCTGGCGCAGCATTGTCACGGGTTATTTTCGCCGAGGCTGCCAGGTGGGGCTCCCTGCGCTAGAGAGACGCCTCATCACGAACACCGTCGCTGAGACACGTTCAGGCAGCGCCGGGCACCACAGAAACAAGCCAAGCGCCGAGGACACGCAATGGACAGCGAGGTGCGTGTCACTCGTTGTGGAATGTATTCGGCCGTTGGAATGGAAAGTAAATCTGCCGGTGGAACAGCTGGCAGAGCTGGCGGGGGAGAGGCTCAGTGCGTGGGAAGCAGAAGGACACCGAAGCGGTGTCCAGGCGGAATGTGCAGAACAAAGGAACAGACAGCGGAACGCGACAAACTGGAAATCTGCCAATGATGAGGCTGCCAGGATGGGGGGGCAGCGATCCGAGTGGGGGACTTCGGGTGCCTTGGTGGGGGGGGGCATAGAGACCGACATCTGCAGAGGTGTGGACGCCTCCATCACGCATGTGTGTGAATCAATGTGCCCTGAAAATAATACGATTAAAATGAAGCCATCAGCACTCCCCTCTCGTGGCCTGGGGGGCGGGGGGGGAAGGGCATCTGTGCCAGGGCCACACCCCCATGAGGGCAAATGCTGGTGGGGTCCAGGCTGCACCCCCTGCTCTGCTCTCCAGCCTCCTGCAGGTCTCTGTGGTCACTCTACCTAGGGCGCCTTGGATTTGCAGTTAAACTCCACAGCAGACATTCATTGCTGTGTGACATCTGCACATACGGGTCATTGAGAAGTTGCCAGTACATCCCCCTGATTCAAGCCATGGCACAGCCACAGTCCCCCTGACTCGGGTGAGGACACCCCAGGGCTCAAGCTTCCCTTTACTTTGAAATCAGATCTGTTTCGTCTTTGTATTTCTTGCTAAAATTATTTCCTTGGTTAAATTGTTTTGCTTTATGCCATTATGAGGGACATTTTTTAAGGTTGAATTTTCTAACTTGTTTTACTACTCTATAGAAATATTACCCATTTCTGGCCCTCCCTGGTGGCGCAACAGGTTAAGACGCAGCACTGCAAGCTGGCATCAGTGTGAGTGCTTCAATGTGAGTTCGACCCCCAGCTCCAGAGGTGACCTACACGGCGCAGCAGACCTCTCCTGACTCACCGCTGCTCCCCTCAACAGTGTACTTCATTGGTCTGCCTGTTCTGCTCCCCACTCTGTCTCTGGTGAATATACTCACTGCCCCTATACCTCTGTACCCCAGTCTGTATGCATCAATAAATAAATCTTAAAAAATATTTATTGTCAGTAGTCCTCTGGGCCTCATTGAAGTTTTACTAATCATAATAGTTATCAAATGAATAATTCATGAATACATAATACTGAGTTGCTTTCCCTTTTTTTTTTTAAATTCTTGTTTTTCTTATTTTGGTTCCATGCCTTATTAAAGTAGTTTAATTCCTAAATTATTTTAAGGATTGTATATAACTAGTATTTCATGGCTTCACATATCTAGTATCATAACGATAAGGCAATAATATTTCAATCCTATTCAAAATGATTGGAATTTTTTTTATTAGGACTAGGTGCTGAATTTTCGCTCTCATGAGGTGATCATAAACTTACCTGCCAAGGACCAAGTGAGGAAGCAGGACTAGACCACAGCTGAGTTCCGCATCTTCTGGGGTTTCTGGCTGCACAGATAATGAGCCCCAAACCACAAAATCCCACCAAGTGAGAGCTGCAGGGGTGAGAACAGGTAATAAGTTGTGTTCTGATCTGAACAGACACTCTGATCTGGAGTCCATAAAATATGGTACCTCTGAGAGACTGGGGGTGGGATGGTGCTACTTGTGTTTGAAATAGACCCTTCCCGTCACTTAGACATGGGGATCACCCACACGCAAGGCCCCGGCTCACCTACTAACCCCTTGTCTCCCAATATGAGTCAAGGCAGCAGACTGTACTCTAAGGATTTCAGGGAGCAGAGGGGAGGCCCCTGGCTGGATGTTGTTGGTGCTGTGACCATTGTCAACACTGGGGGGCTCCGTGGACCTGCTCTCTGGAGGTGACAAGGGGTTCTGGGCCAGAAGAGATGCCCCCGGGAAGAAGGAAGCAGACACAGTCGGTCAGGAAAGTGGGGCTGGGGTCTGAATTCTCCCCTGGGAATTCAGAAGCCTATGAAACCCACAGGGGAAGGTGAACTTTTTAGGGGAGAAGATCACAGAGGATGGAAACTGGGAGAGAGGCCCACATTCTGTAGGGGCCTGAGGAGTCACAGAAATACTTTAAAGACCTCAGACTTCAGAGGAAGCTGCTCAGGAGACAAGGACTTCTGGAGAGAAGATGAATGGATAAGGGTACCAATTTCTCTTGACAGTTATTCAAAAGCAATGAGGAAATTAACACAAACACCATCTATCAGAAGCTAGGTCAGAAAGGTGCTCAGGATGTCAGATGCAAAGAGGATGCACAGGGCTTTGGGAGAAGAGAGAATGTTCACACTGGCAGCTTTGGGAAAGGTAAGCAGTGATTAGGTGCTTCAAGGGGGGAGGGGCACCCCCAAAGTACAAAACTGAAATGCTTTTAAGAAATTGTAGGAGTATGTTGCTCTAGTTGACACTAAATCTGGATTCGTTCCAAGAAGTATTAAGTTAGGACCACAGGAGGAAGCATAGCAAGACAAGTCATATTTCTGAGGAGGAAGCAGCTTGTCCTTGAAACAGAAAAGGAAAGAAGACCTGCACTGTCAACTGCCTGAAAACTACCCGAGGGGAACTAGAGCTCCCGGGCCAGGGATCGAACTCATGCCGCAGTGACTGGCAGCAGCTTGCCAGTGCTGAGTCTTCAACCCCTGTGCCACCAGGGAGGCCCAAGGTGAATGGATATGCTTTTATATTTCTCACATTTGTGGTTAGCCAAGGAAAGGGCAGCCCACTCACATGCATGGAGGCAGTATTTACGCAGGTCCTTTTCCCTTGCACACAGTGTGGGGTGAAGGTTGTCTAACTATCATTCCACCTTTGCTTCTATGTTTAACTTTGGAATTTCAGGCAGATGAGAGGAAGTAGCTTTTAACTGGGGTCCCGAGGGTGCAGCTGACAAAGAATTCAGTTAATAAAAAGTCGATCATGATTGCATAAAGCAAGGTGGAGGTACATAAATATTTTGGCCTTCCCATCAGGAGAAAGGAAAAAGACGTCTTTTATAGTAAGTGGTTGGGGAAAGGGCCTGTTACCTTGGAACCAAGCCAGCACCATGGACAGCTCCCGCCACCTTGTCCATCAGAGATCTTTTTGAAGCCCAGAGGTGATGGGAGGATTCAAATCCCCAGGGGTCTTGTCAGAGGGAAGATTTGGTTTCTGTAAATCTTGACGAGGGCCTGACATTCTGCATTGCTAGCCAAGTTTCCAGAAAACACTGATGTTGCCCGTCCTACACCAAACTCTGAGCAGCTTGGCAGCAAGGGACCCTGTGGCGTGCCCACGGCGCTCAGGTCCGAGTAGAGGCTTTTGCTGTGGCTTTTCCTGTGGCTCCTACATCTGGGTCAGACCTGACTCCTGGCGAGCCTAGCACCTCTGCCTCTGTGAGGGGACACAGCAAGACCACATGCCTAATTCCCAGCCTGCATTTCCTCTTCTCCCCTCCCCAGGATTTCTTTGTCCCCTGCCCTGACTGTGTGGATGTTCTCCCAGCATCCACAGACCTGTTCTACCGAGTCCGAGTTCCGGCTTTACCATATACTTGCCTGATGCCCTTGGGTAAGTGAATTGACCTCTCTGTGCCCAAGTCTCTTCAGAATGGGGCGACCCCTCAGTGACTGACACAAGGGGGAACAGAGAACACATGTAACGTGAGACCCATGCCAGCTACTGCAGCATCCTCTGGTACTAGTGGCCTCGCTGTGGCCATCTGCCCCCACCTCCCCAGCCTGCCTACTGCCCTGGGCTTGTGCTGTCTGGGGCTCCCCAGCAGGAAGTCACAGTCCGCGTAACCCACCTCATCAACCTGCTCTTTTCCATCACTTTCTCTTCCTCCCTGCTTTGCTTTCATCATCCCCACGCAGATGGCCCAGCTGCACTTGGCTGTGGCAAAATTGTAGCAGCCTTTACTCCTTCTGTTGCTGAGATCTTCAGACCTGGACTCATCTCTAAGGTCTTGTTCAGTCAATAGACACACAGATGGCCTCTGACCTTGACCCTGAAATTGTTTATTTCTTGACCACAGTCTCAGGCTGGTAGCTCAGTGTCACCAGTGCCAAACTAGAATATTTACACATCCTGTGAAACTTCAGCAGCCCAGACGAGCAGGCTTTCAGCTATGTCAGGACTGCTGAAGATTAAACATGAGAGCTGTCATTGTGGGATCCTGTAAATCTTCTCTCACCATCACTATTCAACTGCCTTTGTGAGCCAGACCTGGTGTGAAAGGCTCCGTGATGTCCACCTGGGCTGGAAGGACATGGACGTCTTAGTCTTTCTTTTCTCAAGCTTAGCCAGAGACCATTCTGCTTGAAGAGGTTCCACATACAGAAATTTTAGGTTGTGCCAAGTTCACACTATGCCAGAGCGTGTGGAAAGGCCACTGCAATGCAGAATCCCCGGAGGAGTCTGTGGGCTCAGTTTTGAGAAACGAAACACTAGATGTTATTTAAATCTATATTTGCAGACAGTGAGGTGGGCATGGAACCTACCTATCTCCCTTGGTTTCTCACAACTGGCTGAAATATGGTCTTGGGAGACCCTAGGAATTCATTATTTTGGGGGGATACCAGTCCTGGCCAATCAGAATGGGTCCCTGGACTTTTGATTCACCCCTCCCTATTTGGGGGCGCCCAGTCAGGAGGGGTCACCTGTGGGTGATGGCACCATCTTGCCTGCACCTGGAAGAAGGCTGTCTGCGAAACAGAGACAGGTACCCGATTAAAGCATTTTTATCCTTTGAATCCAGACACGCCTGAAGTCCATTTAAGTTTTTCCAACCACATGAACCAATAAATGTATTTTTTTTCCTTTTTTGAGTAAAGCATGTTTGAGTTGGTTTGGGTCACTTAAAACAGAAAGAAAAATGACTTGCATATGGTTTGTTAACAGATTGCACATATAGTCATGGTAATACTTTGCAACAGAAAAAAAACAATGTCTATAGAAACTAAAGGAAACATTGTATAGTAGGAAATACTGCTATCTAAGACAGCAAAATGGAAAATACAGAGGCAGGGAAGCCAGGGACTTGAGAATGAGAAAGAAATGCTGTGGGACAGGAAAAATATATTTTATAACACAGCCTTGACCTAGGGTCCCGGACAGGCAGTCCAGTGATTTTAATGTGCCAATCAACAGCAGCACAGGTTAAAGCTTCTAAGACAAAGTGTCACCTAGGTCGATGCATTATTCCTCTCCCCTCGCCCCTATTTTTCACTTCCCTGCATTTTAAAAAGTTGTATTTAATGTACCTGTACTACCTTCTTTTATTTTTATTTATTCATGCATACAAGAACTGGGGTACAGGCCAGAGGTGCAGGTGGTGAGAGGCTTCACCAGAGACAGAGTGGGGAGCAGAACAGGCAGATCCACTGAAGTACACTGCTGAGGGGAGCCGCAGGCGAGACAGGAGAGGTCTGCTGCGCCATGTCGGTCACTCCCTGGCCGGAGATCGAACCCACAGTGGCTGCCGGTAGCTTCAAGCGCAGCTCCTCAGCCCTCAACCTGAGCCACCAGGAGGCCCCGTGCGCTACACTCTCAACAGCAGCCCAAACTGGGGAGCCAGGAAAGTCCGTGAGGTCCTCCGGGGACTGGGTGAAAGCCGCGGGCAGCGGCTCAGGGGGCCTCTCTCTCCCCTGGACGGATTCCCATGGGGCAGGTTCCAGTGACCTCCTTTTGTGTGCAAACCCAGGATCTTCTCCAACGCTGCCACCTCCCTGGGTGGGGAGGAAGAGAGAGAGGCAACTGGAAGGCCGGTTAGAAGAAACACAAAATACCCTTCCCCCAGGACCCCGCCCGTCCTTTCAGCAGCAGCCTGACCGCTGCCCGCCTGCGACTGTCACTGTGCCTGCGAGTGAGTGGGGGGCAGAGGACGGAACTAGAATGACTTCGGACCCAGGGAAGGGGCGAGGAGACAGGGAGGGGCTGACCGGAGGGGGCAGGCTGACTTTACAGGACTCAGCAGGGGACACGCAGGTCTCCTGCATGTCCACGCTCCTCCCCCTCCTGGCTCCTGCATTCGCAGACCTGGGGGGTCCCACGCGCAGTCAGAGCCACGTGACTCGACCCCAGTGCGGCCCTCGGGAGGGTCCTTCCCGGCTTGGGGGCTCCGCCGCCAGGGGGCGCACTACCCCTCCCGGGGACCTGGGCTCTGCCCACCTGTAGGCTCGCCCGCCACCTGCCTTCCTGCTTCCCCTAGCTGGGCTGGGGCTGGAGGCACAGTCCCGGTGGCTTCCTCCGAAGACGAGCTCATCGGCCTTTTGGGGGGCAAGAGTTTCTGTAAAGACGCAAGAACACCAGTGGCAGGGAAGTTGCAGAGGGGCTTCTGAAGCCGGGCTCCCCGCCTCTGCCAGCCCCAGCGCGCTGCAAAGCTCCCTCGCAGAGTGCGAGCCCCAGACGAGAACTCCACAGCCTGGTGTCTCGCACACCCAGGGCACGTTTTCACCAAGTCCTGGAGGCTGACCCGCTTCTAGGGAGGACTCTGGCTGGCAGAAGGCGTCATCGCAGGGCCCAGGGTGCAGGCGAGAGCAGCCTGTGTTCCCTCTTCCCCTGATAAGGGCCGAGCGTTGTGGATTACGCTCCCCCACCTCCCCGCCCCAGGACCTCTTTCATGTCCAAACACCTTCGAAAGGCCCCATCTCCAAGGAGTCCCAAGGGGGCTCACGGCTTCAGCCCATGGCGGTCAGGGGCCGTGCTTCACTCCCTAGTCCTCCCTGTGGCTCAGGGCCCTCTTCTGTACAGGTGGAGATCCCCCCCGCCCAGCCCAAGGCCCTCAGAGGCCACAGGGAGAAGCAGGCATGGCCAGGCCTGCCCCGGAGCGCGGCATTATCTTGGCTCCACAGCCACAAATCCTCAGCACACACACACTCTTCACACACCAGAGGGGCTGCTTCCTTGACACCTTTTCTCCTGTGGCCCTCGGTGCCCCCGGGGCCCAGCTTCAGCCCCCTCCCTGCGCCCCTGCAGCTGGCTGACCTGCTGCAGGCTCTCGAGGAGTTGGGCAAGCTCCCTCAGCTGCCCCTCCAGCTCCTGGGCCTGTGCCCTCAGCTCCTCCGCCAGCTCCGTCCGCGCTCCCTCCTTCAGATGCTTCCAGTCCTTCAGGAGGACGGTCAAGTCCAGGCTGAGGGAGAGGCCGGTCATCACGCTCCCCAGCCAGCGGGCGCTTCTCGTCATCAGCAGCGGCGTGCCCTGGAAGGCCCCGTGCACCTGCCTGCGCTTCCAGGCCGAGAGGTGCCCGGTGGCCTGGAGACGCCGGGCGGCCGCGACCAGGTGCGGCTGGGCTCTGGCTGCCTGCAAGGCACGTACGTGCTTCTGGATCTCCTTGAGGGTGCTGCCATAATTATAGACAAGCTGACTGGCAGCCGTCATGTAGGAGACCCCCCTCTCTCCGGCCTCCCTGGCCTCTGGGCCACGGGTGGGCACCAGGCTGCTGGCCTGAGCGCGGGCTCCTTGACTGTGGACATGTTCCCAAACACTGGTCAGGATGCTGGTGACCCCGGCTGCGGTTTCCAGCCCCTTGCTAGCAGCAGAGAGCATCAGGCTGCCCCCCGCGGTGGCAGGAGCCAGCACCAGCCCCAAGATGCTCATGGTGCCTGAGACCACGGCGATGGAGCCGGCCAGCACGCTGGTCTTGGTGAGAGCCCGGTGCGTGGTGTCCAGCTGGTCCGCAAGGGCGTGGAGCTTTCTGATGCCCTCTTCCAGCTCCTCTTTCAGGAAAGGGTACTCCTCCAGAAAGGCTCTTTCTTCAGCCGACAGCTCTCCATCGCCTTTCTCCACATCTTCACCCAGAACGTCCTCCTTGCCTCTGTGGAGGAGGGAGGGGGGAGCTCTCGTCCATCTCTCGGATGGGAAAGCCACATTCTCAGGCCTGTGTGACCCCGGGGTTCCTGCCACTCCTGAGTCTGGACCCTCCCTGCCTCTCCCTCACACCCCCGTCCCCCTGCCTGTTTGAGGAGGTCCCGGGGCCCGCTGGCTCCAGGGCGAGAGAAGCAGCACTGGAGGTCGGGAGGTCGGCCCTCCTGGCGGCCGGCGGCCGCTCAGGGAACCCACTGTTCTTTCGAGGAAGAGGCAATCAATGCCAGCATCCTTGTCATTAGGGCCCCGGGACGCTGGAGGGCGGGCCTGGGAGAGTCGGAGGCAGCGGGGCCCGGTGGTGGGAGCTTGGAGGTCCTGACAGTGTGAGGAGGGCAGTGGCCTCCGTTCAGCTCCTCGGCTGCCCCTTGGCTGTCTGGAATGACGGGGTCCTGGTCGACAGTCACTAACCTGCACCTTCTCCCAGGCTCGTGGCCAGCTGTACTTGACCCCTCAAGCACATGGCTGGGTCCTCCATGGAAGCAGCCAGGGACCTGCCCTGTATCTCACAAGAGAGGGCTAAGGGGTCCCAAGCAGCCCCTTCCTGTCCCTTCTTCGGGCTACATGCGGCCAGCGGACTCCTTCAGGGGGAGCTGAAGAGGCCAGTGGTGATTCCCTGGCCCAGTGGAGCTCAGGGCCCTGGGTGGGGGGGAACCCCGAGAGGGCCTGAGTACCTTCCTGTGAGGCTCCACGGAGGGAAGAGGAGCAGGGGAAGACGCGGTGGCCCAGAGGATGGTGGGAACCAAGGGGGCGCCTCGAATGGGGCTCAGAGCTGCAAGACCTTCCGCCACAGCACCCTCCTCTGCCAGCTGGCGCGGGAATCCCTCACCGGGCAGGTGCACATTTAATTTTAAGTCCCCCCTCTCTCCACACACACACATGCACGCGCGATGGGAAAGGTTAAAACCCGACACCCACCCAGACCCCTCTGGTGTCAATGATTTAATACACCGAGGCTTAATTGTCAGCTGACCTGCAGCTGCAGTCAGTTTCCAGAGCACAAGGTTGGCAGGGGCCGTGGGGAGGTCACAGGTGAAGACTCAGAGGGTGACCCTGCCGGCAGCCCCACAATCTAGCCCACCCCGATCTCGGTGTTTTCTCAGCTTGCATGAAGACAAACAAACAACAATAGAAACAGCTGCAGGGACTCACAGCACCGTTTGGCACAGGCGCTGATGTCCTCATTAACAGGGTGGAGGCCGTGGAAGCCTGACCTCCTGGGTTTCTGAATTGGACGAGCCGCCTGGATGTGGCGAGTTCCTGCCAGGCCGGGTGTGAGGGACACTGTCCAGCCGCAGCCCAGCTACAGGGGGCGCTGCTGAGGCCCCTCCGCAAGTACTGCGGTGGCCCGGCTGCAGGGGGCGCTGCTGAGGCCCCTCCACTGGCAAGTACCGCAGGTGGCCCGCTTGGTGCCGGAGGCTGGTGCTGCTCCAGCCGCTGCAGGACAGTAGCTGGGCCAAAATCCACTCGTGCACTGGCACCTGCGGGCTTCTTTGGCCAGGAAGAGCGAGTGGCCCCTTCACGGCACTCCCAGCGCGGGAGCTCGGGAGCTGGGCAGTTGCTGCCTTAGACACTGCCGTCGCCTGATGTCTAGAACACGCCTGTGTCTGGAGGCTGGAGAGGGACAGGCCCGCGCTGACGGCGACAGCGGAGCCCCGCGGTCCCAGAGTGCGAGGTTGTTCAGAGCGCGCTGGCCGAAGTGGCCAGGCCGTCTGTGTTACCTTGGGCAGCCAACGCCAGCCGCGCGTCCCTTCCCCGTCTGGCCGTCCAGCAGCTCCCGAGGCAGCAAGTCCGCGCTGGCTCTGTCCCGGGAAGAGTGAGACGCGTCCCTTTCGGCCAAGTGAGTTTCTGGTTGGAAACGAGAAGCACCCGGTCACCTCGGCAATTCTGGTGCGGGAGGAGCTTAGATGCGCCGTTATTTTAGTCTAAAATAATAAGGGGCCCTTGGCACGCACTGATACTTGCCGATATTTTACACATCGTATCACAGCGTAGCTTACCTGCCTCAGGGAGGGAGATCAAGTTCGCAGCTCAGTGGTTTTTGACAGCTGAGTCCCGGCCCCCATGCAGATACAGAGAGAGGGTCCCCGGAGCCCCACCGCGGGGACCACACTGTCCCCACTCCCCCCTTCTTGGTGAGTTCTCCTGTCCTTGTGCTCATGTAGGAGTCCGTTAATTTGGTTTCTTCCGTCAATATGACTCCAGGTATAACCGTGAAATGCATCAGTGTTGTGTGTGGACCGGTAGTTTTAAATTTTTCATGGAGTAGTTAACTTTATAAACACACGGTAACTTGACCTTCCCTCTGCTGCCAGTGGATCTGTTGTCTGGTTTCCAGGCCGTGGCTTTGGGAACAAACAGTGACCGTCTTCACAGAACAAGGCAACAATTTCTAAGGCCGTTGGTACAAATTATATGCCTAGGGACATAGTCACATTATGGAAACTGCAAACCCCCCGAGTATATAGGGGTTTGAATCCACCCTAGGAGCTATTCACCACCTGGTGAGACTTGAGGCCAGGGGCGGGGAGCACGTGTTGTGTTTGTCTGGAGAAAGGGGCACTTTGATCGACTGACCGACTGATTGCTAGATTGATTCAGAGATTGCACGTGCATTTGTAGAAACATGTGTCCACAGAGCTGTTAGTGTCCCTTTGGGGTGACTGGGGGGAACCCCTGTTCTATAACTCAATCTGGGGACAGGGACTTGGATGTCAAAAATTATTGAGCTATGGACTTGATCTTACCTCCCTTTGATACAATCTATAAAAGCCAAGTTGGCCCTGGGGCACCTGTGTGCCAGCTCATGTAACTGTTAGGGTGGCCCCTTGGTCTGGAGATGACTCTAGGTTGGCGGGAGAAGCAATGGGGGGCCAGCTCGGGGGGTGCTGCCAGTCGGAGCTGGAGTCATGGCAGCTTGGACCCAGCCAGGAGGAAGAGGGGAGCCAGGTGCCTGTAGGAACCCACAGGTTTCATCAGCAGACACAGGTTGCACCAAGGCAGAGTCCTCAGTGACCTCAGGATGAGAAAGGTTTGGGTAGTGGGGACACCATGTCCCGAGCTGGGAAGGGCTGAGGGCTCCTGGCCGGCTGGAGAGTTCTGTTTGGGGCAGGCTAAGCTCCAAAGGCCCGTAGGCCTCAGGTGAGGTTGCGTCGGCAGTGGATGGACAGTCTGTCCTGTCTGGGAACTTAAATTTGGGAGTTGTCATTGTGGAAAGTAGTTAAAACCATAAGACTGCCTGATACGCTAGGGAGAAAGTGCCAGCAGAGACCAAGATGGAGCCCTGGGAGCCTCCAAGCAGGAAGAGGAAAAGCCACAGGGATGGAGAAGCTGCCTCAAGGGTGTGAGGACGGAATGGGACGACGCTGGGAACCAGGCAGTGTCCCAGCGTGGTTGCTGAGCCCCAGCGGACCTGGTACTTGTAGACTTTCTGGGTCATTTACTTCCCTTCTTTCTCGTCCACAGCCACCCCTGGGTTCGGCCTTACCTGCCAGTGAGCACGGCTGGGAGGAGAGAGCTCACCTTGGCCGGTCTGAGATGTCTCTGGGATAGCGACGTCTCTGCTTGCTTCCATAGCCATGACAGCAGGGTGTCTGGTGGGAGAGAAACTATTTTACACTCCAGAGGGAAAGCTGGCCTGGGGGTTAGTTGAGTGACCCTGGGGTCAGTGCATTCCAAGACCTCCACTGTCACTTACCAGTTCTGTGATTTCAAGGAGATTCACTCACTGTTCTGTGCCCTGTTCTGTTTGTTGAAATAACCAGTGAAATGCACCCCCCCCACACACACAAACACATCACCTGATGTTAAAGGATAGTCATCTCTGCACTTTCTCAGAATTATAAACACCTTCTGTCACAAGGAGACTCTTAGGTTGGGTCCAAAGGCAAAACTCACCTCCACACACTTCTTGCGAGAGATTTATCTGACACACGCAACTCAGTAACTAAGGTGAAACCAAAAAGCTGGATGGACAGGAGGTGGCTGTTTGGGTGAGAGCAGTTGGTCTGTCTCTGAACTCTATAGTGAGGACCCCACAAATCAGCTGTGGGGAAAACTCACATAGAACTAAATGCATGTGCACAAGTATGATTAAAACTGGTGAGATGTGAATAAAGTTGGTGGTTTGTATCAGGGTCTTTCCTGGTTGTGATCTTGTACTATAGATGGTTTTGCAAAGTGTCACTGGTGGGGAGCCTGGGTAGAGGGGGTACAGTGGTTCTCTGAATTATTTCCCACAACTTCAAAATTAAAAATTAAAAAAAAAATCGATAGTTTACACCTATTAGAAAGGCTAAGTCCAGAAAACTGACACCACCAAATGTTGGCAAGGATGTGGAGCAACACACCCTCTCGTTCATAGCCATGTGGGCACGCAGAGTGATATACTTTGGAAGGCAGCTTGATGGTTTCTTACAAAACCAAATATACTCACACCACCTGATCAGGCACCATGTTCACTGGACTCTACACTAAGGAATTGAAAACTTTGTCCACACAAAACCACACAGGGCTACTTATAACAGCTTGATTTGTAGGGGTCCAAACTTGGGAGTAACTGAGGTGTCCTTCAGTGGGTGAGGGGGGAAGTGGTGCATCCAGACACTTGTTTAGTGCTTTCTTTAGTGCTAAAAAGGAATGAACTATTGAGACATGAAAAGACCTGGAAGAAACATTCATGTGTGCTACTGAGTGACAGATACCAGCCTGAAAAGGCTATATTCTGCATGATTCCAATTATATAACATTCTAGAAAGAGCAAAACTTGGGTAACAGTGAAAAGAAGTGTAGAAAAAAACAGCTGAGGGGACAGAGGATGAAAAGGCAGAGTTCAGAGGGATTTTAGGGTAGTGAAAACTCTGTAGGAAGCTGTAGCGATGAGTGTGCTTTAGCGTGCATGATGCCTGCGTGCACACTAGTCATGTCTATGTGGGGGTGATGACGGGTCAGTATAGGGGGCAGGGACAGGACATGGGGAGGCTGTCCATGTGGGGGCAGGGTGTACAGGGAAATCTCTGCACTTTACCCTGTGAACCTAAAACTGCTAAAAAAAAAAAAATGGAATCTATCAAAACATACCGAAAGGAGCAAAAGTGGCATTATTCATATCAAAAAGTAGTCTAAAAATCACCCAGATGTCACATTTCATTTTACAAGCAAAGAGAAAAGCAGTGGATTCCTATCCTTTATTCAGTTTCCTATGAATTGTGTCACTTCGTGTGGTATAGTCATCACACGCACTACTCAGTAGTTTCAATCAGGATAGTCAAAGACGGGGAGTGCTCGGTGAGCGGCTGGCTCGCTGCAGTTAGTAACTCCCCTGCTGGTGGATCTTTTGGCTCATTTCAGGGTTTTTTTGTTGTTGGGGGTGGTGTTCTTATAAATAATTCCTGTTTTGCAGATGCATGTTTCTGGGTTAACCCCTCCCCAGGAGGGAAGGGAGTGCAGCCGTCCTCTTAGACGGAGCAAGCCCGCTGTCTGAGGGTCCGTTTCTGCACCCGAGATGAGCACAGAGCGTGGGCAGGGGGTGCCCAGCTTTGCCCTCAGTATGTTCTTTAGAAATCAGGGAAGGGAACAGCTGCCAGCATCTGCTTCCTCTGCCCGCCGACAGCATTACAGCTTTCCATCTTTAATACCTCATGTTTCCACCTATGTAAAGTGGATTCAAATTTGTAGTTGTGGGGAAAACAGGTCTCAGAGCAAAACTCACCCCACTGTTTGTTCTTCATTCTTTATTCCCAGTGTACTAAGCTGACACCTATTTAAATATCGGTCCATACCTGTGTTATTTCTCTGGGAGAGAGTTTGAAGCTGAATCATTTCACCAAAGATAAAAGTGTCTTCTGCTCTCTGGCTTTGGGGCTCTGACACCAGGGCACTCGTGGTTTGTGGTAGGAGGCACCTTGTTCCTTATTTGTGCCTGACTCGCACCTGTCACCTTGTATACCTGCAGTCCTCTCCACAAACCTGGGAAGTAGATGTAGGTGATCCCCGTCTTACAGATGGGGTACCTGAGGCGCAGGGCAGCCATGTCTGCAGGCGGTAAGTAGGGGAGCTCTAGACCCGCCCTGTGGGTCCCCTTGCTTCCAGGGGACACCGGGCATTTTCGGTTGTCACCATGGGTGGGGGCAGGGAGGTGCCACTACTCTGGTCTTGATGGTGGGGCCAGCACCCTGCACATACCCTGCAACACACAGCCCCGCCAGGAAACGCCAGGGGTGTTGAGGCTGAGAAGCCCCGACCCCCGAACCCGCTCGTCACCAGCACCCTGAGCCGCCCCTCGGGTTAGTCCAGGAGGCTGAGGTCAAAGGTGGCGTCGAGGAGCTCTCGGTCAGTGGTGCCCACCCTCCCTGCTGAGTGAATCTCTGCAGATGTCTGCGGACAGTGGCTGGGGGCGGGGGTTGGTGGAAGAGGATTGGGGAGATCCTAGGTATGGCAGTCTTTGCTGCTTGGGGGAGCCCTCTCATTCTCCAGTGTCCCTCCCCCTGGAAACCAACTCACACTCCCTCAGATCAACACCAAAGTCCAAGAATCAGCGGCCTCTGGAAACGCAGCTTTGAGCGCATCACCCCCGGCCACCCCAAGTAAACGTACGTTCCAGAACCCCGGCGGCTGGCGGGTGGTTTCCGGTCAGCGCACCCAGCATCTTTCTTGCTAAAAAGATGACACCCCGAAACCACTCCCACATGGACCTTCTAGGACGATGCTGGTGGCCGGGGGCGCTCCCTGGGGACAGGCCCCACGTCAGGGGCGGAGGCTGCCACGTGGGTGGTCCTCGCCCATCCAGCGGCCAGTGGGAGCGATTCCTGCCCTGACGTCGCGGGAGAGAGCTGCTCTTCAGACCGTCCCAGCCCCAGTTGGTAAGGTGGGAGCGGGGCCGGCGTGGGTGTCTGGCTGCCTGGCCGGGCCTGTCGCCTCCCACAGACACGGTGCTGGCGCTTTGGCGGGCGAGGCAGCCTCCCCCCAGCCCCCACCTGCTCTCCACGAAGCTGTCACCGGCTGGGGTCCGCTCTGGCCGCCCACCGTCCTCTCCTCTCCGAGGGCCCTGGTCCGGCGGCAGGGCCAGTGTGCTGCCCAGAGCGTCAGGCGGGTTTGCTGGCACGGGCCCGGGCTGGCTCCGCTGGCCGCTCAGAGCAGGGATTGCGAAACTGGGCCTAGGGGAGCTGCAGGCCCGGAGCACCGCGGGTCCTCTGGGCGCTGGCCACCTCCTCTCCCCCTCGCCCCTGCCTCTCCCTGCCCCTGCTGGGCTGTGGCCTCAGCAGCCCCCACCCCGCCCCACTCCTGTGGAATGGGCAGGAAAACAGCACCAGTAGCCTAGAGCAACTGAGTCGGGGGGCAAGGCCCCCGAAGAGCGTCAGCGGCAGTGGGAGTGGCATCGGCGGGTGACGCGAAGGGCCCCTCCTCTGTAGTTCTGAGAGACCGAGGTGTTCAGCCCTCTTCACTCCGTGGGCGGCAAACCCGACTGACCAGCAACAAGGGTGTGCTTTGCCCTGTCCCTCTTCCCCTGCAGGGGGATTACTGGTGCTCGGGGAAGGGGGTGGCTGGGGACACCACGTAATGACCAGACTCGCACTTTAGATAAATGCCGAGGTGCTTCTACCCAAGTGATGCGAGGTCCAGGACTGGGGTCCCGAGCCCCCACTTTGCAGAAGTGCAACTGTGACCTTGAGAGGGTCAGCCCTTGGTGTGGCCACCGGGCTCAGCAATAGCAGGCCCGTCCTAGCCGCCGCGACTGGGGGGACCTTGGGGGTGAATGGAGAGTGTGGTCCAGGCTGAGATTTGTGTCTGCAACATTGTGTTTAATCGGACTTTTCTGTCCAGGAGCCCCGAGTCCCCCCCCTCCCCAGGGCCCCCAGGCTGCCAATCAGGAGGGGCCCACCTGGTCAGGGCTGGTAGGCATACCAGCCTGTCTCTTTGTTTTTTGCAGGGCCACAGGGATGACCACTGTCCCCTGGCCCTCTGAGTAGGACTGAGAGGCCGGCAGGCCACGGAGCTGGGCCCGGGACCTTTCCAGCCTTGGCCCTTGAGGACGCACTGAGCCCAGGCCGCGTGGAGGGGGTCAGCCAAGCAGGCCGCGCCGGCCACCCGGGGCTCCCCGCTGTTTGCCTAGCAACAGCCCCAGTGTGGTGGCCTGTCTCTGTCCTGGGAGCCCGAGGTGCCAGGCGGCCACTGGACGAGGCGGGTGGTTGCCACAGAGGTCTTGTGAAATGCTGGAGGGTGCCGCAGGTGGGGGGGGGTGGAGCTCTGGGGACCCTGGCCTGGGTCACGGCACCCCAACAGCCCAGCTGCCCAAGCTCCTCACTGGCGGCTCTACGGTCAGCAGCACCTAAATCGGGCTGGTGAATCAGAGCCGGTGCTGGAGGCACAAGGTTCCGGCAGCCCAGACGTGGTGCCAATGTCCCCACCAGCCCTGGCAGCTGCTCCCACGAGGGACAGAGCAGGGCCTCCGGGAACACGCTGACCCTGACGCCCTGCATTCCGGGAAGCTCTCTCCTGCTCCCTGGCTGTGGTGTCTCGGAGCGTGTAAGCAAATGACGGCACCTACCGCCAAGTGGGGCAAAAGGTCCATCCCTGCCCCGCTGCTCTGCCTGGAAGCTGCCCTTTGCTGCAGCCCGGTCCTGAGCACCACCGCGGGGGGGTAGGGGGGCGCTGGACTGGACCCCGGGACACAGAGTCCAGCCCAGGCCCTGCCGCCTGTCCTAATAATCCTCCCACGCCCACCTCCGGGTTCTTGTCAGGATCCGGTGGCTCGTCCGGACAGAGCTTGCCATGGGTCCTGTGCCCAAAGCTATTTTCATGCACACAGGACCGGCCTTTCAGGGGAGACTGGAGTCTCTAGAGGGGATGTGAGGGCTCCCCCTCCCAGCCCCAGCTAAATACGAAGAGTCTTGTGATCGCAGGTTTGCAGGGAGAGGAATGGAGTTTTGCCCACGAAGCAGGGTGCGCATAACTGGCCAGACGGAGGCCGTGGGGGGTGGGCACTTTACCCCTCCAAGGGCAGCGGCTGCTGAGTCCCACAGCTGGGTTAGCACTGGCCGGTGTGGCCATTCTCCTCCCTCTAACGCTGCTCCCAGCCTGCTATGGGGGAATGCCAAGCCACGCATGGCGCCGGGGCCCAGCCTGGGGGCAGAGGAGCGGGCAATGTGCCTGCAAGGTGAGTTCAGTGAGCATCTTCCTGGATCGCAAGTGGCAAATGCAATTTGAAGGAGCATTAGGACAAGCAGGGGCTTCTGGGAAGGCTATTGATCTCACGCTGCTGTTTTTATCCTGCCGGTCACAACCCTTCAGTGTGCCATGAAATCAATTTAGTGGGTCTCTACTATAAAGGAAACAGCCTGGGAAGGAACGGGAAGTCTCAGAAGGCAGCTCACTGCCCACCTACCTATACGCACGCTTGTGCTCCATGGAGCTTACGCTCGTGGTCACACGTGTGCACGTGTTCTAGATGACAGAGTGAAACAGGCCACAGGGACAGACAGTGTCTGAGTGATGCTGATCTAGCTCATGGAGTCAGAGAAATCCAGAGGGGACAGGAGCTTGGAGAAATTCAGGTCCTGAGACCAGGGGCCCCATCGTGGTCTCTCTCCTCCCTCCACCCCCTCCCCAGCTCCCAGGGCACCAGCTCCTGGTTGGGTTTGGGAACAGGGAGCTCTCTGACCCCCCACATGGTCCTGTTCTTCCCCACCCCCGCTCCTGGGGGACCTTGCCAGAGTATGAGGTCAGAGGGAGGGAGCAACAAGGCCCAGGTAGAGGGATGCTCTTCACTACAACCAGGGGACTTGTCCAGAGGAGACCAGGGTTGGGTGTCAGAGAGCCAGGAGCCACGTGGGTGAGCTGGCAGGTCAGCTGGCTTCCCCAGCAGCTGATCCTCCAAGCTGGGGTGTGGGGGTGGTGGTGAGAGGGAGAATCTGGGTACCCCGAGGGCTGCATAACCCTGGCTGGGCCATCCCCACCAACTCTAATTCAACAGAATTTATATCAGGATTCTGCCAACCTCTCCAGACTTGGGGTGCTGGAAAAGATGCCCAAGAGTGTGGGGGTGCATCCAGGAAGCCTTGCAGAGGCCCCCTGAGCCTGGCTGGGGACACGGGGCCTGGGTCTGCTCCCTCCTGGGGTGCAAGTGGCTCTGGTCCCTCCCCCCTTGCCCCAAAGGGTGAGCAGTTGAGCTCTAGCTGGCCCGGGAACCCCTGGGACCTCCTCACCACAGGGAGTCTTTCACTGGGAGGACCCCCATCTGCTACACGTGGGGCCCCGAAAACCACCGAATTCCCACCCAGGTGTGTGGAAGGAGGGGTTCTCAGGGCAGAAACAAGGGTCCTCTTTCGGTGATGATCTACCTAGGATCCCCAGGATGGACTATTCTGTGACTGCGAGGTCCCTAGAGTTGAAAACCCCGGTTTATCCCCCTCCTCGACGGTCCCTTTGCATCAAGCCTCTTCCGCGCCCCCCGGGGTCTGCTTGTAGCTACAGAGGCAGCAGGCAGACGGGTCTCCGGCTCACACCCTTCTCGGGACTCTGTTAGCCCAGAGCACCCTAAAGCCCCAGCTCATGACTGCTGAGGCGGGAACGTTACACACCAGATGGAGAAGCCCTGGGCTGGGCGGACCCACTCTCCGTGCGTAAGGCAGGTGGGGCGATGGGAGGCGCATGGGGGAGGCCGAGGGGGGGCTCCCGGGACCTGGAGTCGGGCAAGTGTGGAGCCCGGTAGGCAGAGGCAGGCAGAGCCGCCGAGTGTCACGCGTCCGGCCGCCCGCGGGGCCTGGCAGGTGTGGGACGGCAGATGCTGGTTCCTGAGGCCCTGGGGCAGGGGAGGCCCAAGGCCGGGAGGCTCAGGGCTCGGCTGCTGGACACTCACACCCTCAGCGTCCCAGGTTCTAGATTCCCGTTAAGTTCCATGGGGAGAAGGACGGTGGTTGGCTGGACACCGAATGCCCAGCTGAGAACCCGCCCCAGGGCTAAGGGTGGGCAAGCGCAGGAGGCTGTGGAAGGACGAGCAGCTGGCTCCTTCCCACCTACTCTGGGCTGGGCCCC